AATTAGGAACCTAGTCCTCGTTCATTCTGTTTTGATGAAATCGTGCACAGAAACCGTATGGTTAACTGTCCTCTATAAATCGGTAGCGTGGGACCCATCATTCGTGATAAGAACGGAGAGGACACAAAAAAGTAAGAAGTTATTACTCCTTTAAATGTTTCGCCAAATTGTTACAAATGCTGGCAGCGGGACGCTTCTGTTTGCCTCTTAAGATGTCCTTACTAAGGCAGCGTTCAGAGTTGGCGACCGTACATGCGTACGATTAGGCGATTAGGCGCTTATTTAAGAAGAAGGCATACTTATCGATGGGCGTAGGTTGTAGGCGAGTAAGCGAGTAGGCGATAAGACAAAAGTACGGATCGATATGTTCGCTCCGCTCATTTAGCGATCGCCTAGCTGCCTAATCGATAGTATTCTTTCCCTTACAAGGGAGGTCGTTCAGGGTGTGCCAAGCTTTTTCAAAACGGTCTTTGCATGATATAGGGGCACATGCGGGAACCACAGAACCATGGTTCATTTTTCCTGAACGGCCCTCTGAATACCAGAAAAGGGGGTCCCTAGTTCGATTCCTCGTGGTGACAAATTTTTGCATTTCGAGTTGACGTTTCCAAAATTCGCGCAAAATGGAGTTAGCATGAATAATCAGTGCCATATTGAATAATTAGTACCATATTCATGATTAGGACCGTCAGTAACCCTTAAATAGACTTTGATTAAAAAAATTGGTGAAAAGGTGTGACACACAGTGGGGCCGTTTGGTGTCACACCTTTTCACCAGTTTTTCAATCAAAGTCTTTTTGTAAGGGTTACTGACGGTCCTAATCATGAATATGGTACTAATTATTCATGCTAACTCCATTTTGCGCGAATTTTGAAACGTCAACTCGAAATGCAAAAATTTGTCACCACGAGGAATCGAACTAGGGACCCCTTTTCTGGTATTCAGAGGGCCGTTCAGGAAAAATGAACCATGGTTCTGTGGTTCCCATGTGCCCCAATGTCATGCAAGAAACCATTTTGAAAAAAGCTTAGGCACACCCTGAACAGCCTCGTTGTTAGAGACTAATTGCCCAATCTCACGTACGATCGCCAACTCTGAACGCTGTCTAAGAAATCTTTGGACCTCCTCAACTATGGCAAATTATTGACTCTCCCATTTCATCCTAATCTATGAGCTTCTCTCTAGTCTCCAAATTGCGGACGTTGAATTTAATTCCCTCCTGCAATCTTACGATTCCGAGTTTCTAGTAGTCGGGAGCTGAATCTTCATGCGTGAACATTGCACTTTGCATCTAGCAATCGCACGTGACGCATTCATGAGGTGTAGGAATACAGAATGCTTTCGACACGTTCCCAGTAAATAGAGGAAATTCTTGAACAGGTCCATACATTTGTATTCGTAACAGAATCAGTGTCCATGGCATCTTTCAGGATCTGGAACTTGCGGTACCAGGAACATACGATCCTTCTCAACCAGTGGTTGGAATCGCTTCAATTGGCACTCATCTTCAAGTGATTAGCAGTAAGCAAAGGCCAAGAAAAATGACTATACGCGGTGAGAGATACTGAAGGCATAACTTGATAGGAAAGAATGTTCGCAGCTTTCAGGTAGTAATGGTCGAGAGTACGCGTTTCTGCTGAAAGGGCACGAAGATCCGCGCCAAGATGAACGGGTTATGCAGTTGTTCGGGCTCATCAATACACTGCTAGTGAATAATGCTGAGACATGTCGGCGGAATCTTACTATACAAGTCAGTGGAAACCTTCTTCTCTTTGTTCCTTTTGCTATTTATTCTGTGCTGTGTTCCGGAGAACTGATAGAGCCATGTTGATGAGAAAATTCATTTTTTTCAGAGGTACTCCATAGTCGCACTTAGCCATAATTCGGGTCTGATCGGATGGGTGCCAGATTGCGACACATTGCACTCTCTTGTGCGGGATTACAGGGACAAGAAGAAGGTATGCATTTGTGCAAATTGCTTGAACTTTAGACACTGGATGCAGCTTTAATGAAGTGAACTGCAAAATATAGAGCAGGTCCCTCCAATAAAGTTGGAAATCCATTCTTTTGAATGTATCGCAATCCATGGTTTTCCAGATTTCTCTATCGCTTGAGCATAAAGTGATGCAGTCATTAGCACAGGATACGGAGCAGGTTACTTTGATGCAGAAGGTGAATTTTTTCATCATGCCCTCTAAAAGCGAAGTACGATGAAAAGACAGCTCATGAGAAGTGAAGATAAAGGTGGTCAGTGGTGCAGAAATTGAGAAAAAAACCATGAGAAACGGCCCAGAATCCGAGAATTGGGGCTCTTTCTTTGCGCGTTATTTTCCGCGTTGGTGCTGCGTCTTTCAGTAACGCTTTTCTGCTAAACGGTTCAGATTTGGCCGCGAAAGGTTACCTATAGGCGGGCGTACAGAGGCGGGAGCGGCCCTGATAGGTCGCTGGGGGCCTACTCTTCGCTGCGGAGCGCGCACTCCCGCACCCTCAGGGGCCTGCATTTTGACTAGATATATTTCCTCTTTTCGACTTTCGACCTTATTATGAACTCTTTGATGAAGAACATGCGGAAGAATATTCATTGCAGGTTCTCTTCAGTTCCTCGGCCCGTCTCAAAACTTCAGCAATTTGAGCGCAATGTGATTCTGGAGGGAGGGGGTGGGGGGAAGGGTGTCGCCGCCACCGTGGTGTGTTCGCACCCTTTCAGCGAACAATGTAAACTCGTACATACCAGTTCTTCACGCATGTTGATTTGCTAAACACTATTGCTGTAAAACTGTTACCAAACCTGAAATCGACTACAGCGATTATCTGAACTGATCTGCTGGTTCCTTCCGAGTTCACAATTAAAACTGTAGGCAATTTTACTTTGACGTTCCTTCTATGAATAAATGTATAACTATGTCTCTTCTCTCCAAATTCATCTTTGTGGTAATCTCTAGGAGCGCTCACTGAGTTTAGCATCTACGGTCTACAGTAACCGCTACTTCTAAATATAGTCTGTAAGAGCATTCAGCAAAAAAGTGCTTGGATCTTCCTCAAGTTGAAGCCTAGCTTTTTAGGTGCAACTTTTCGAAAGAGCCCTCGCGTCAACCACAGGAGATGATTTACAACAAATTCTGTGGTTAAAAAGTCCAAGGTAGGTCATCATCGCCAGTAGGGCTCACTTGGGAACTAGAAACGCAACTTTTTCATCAGATGTTTTTTTGCTCATACTTCTTACTTACAAAGTGTGATACATTGTTTGTTCAAGGTATTAGCTGTAGAAAAAGCAGTTTGTAACAGTCGTTTACTTTATTTATTTATGAAACTCCTCTTTAAAAATTGTATGCCAATTTGCTCGCCTATGATAATTATTCACTGTATAACCGCGATCTTTTTTAGTTCTGAAGTGTGGTTTGATCGTCGAACAAACTATACGAGATCTATGGCATGTATGTCGATGGTTGGGTACATCCTGGGATTAGGTGACAGGTTGGTTCTGCGTTGCACTTATAAATTGTAAAGGAGTGTGGGGATTATAGGTATGGGTCGCGTTCCAATCTGTAGTGTTGATTTCGCTGCGAAAAAAAGAAAAATGAAACCAGTGTTGGACGAAAAAGGCCGTTTGCGATGGAGGGCGGGGGGAGGAACAGTGAATGGAATTATTAGGAAAAGTGGAAATGGAATCATAGGAAACAGTGAAATCAAAATTCTCTTCGCGAGATCGACCTTATTATGACTATGGGGAGAACTAGCACTGAGAGGAGAAGGAAAACGTGACAGAACACGTTCGATAACGAGTGCTGGGAATGTTAGGAATGGCAACGGTTGCAGCGGCCAAAGAAAGACATAACGCCCTCACGACGAACTTCCGAGGTGTCATCTCACTCACGAAGAAGATTCTTTCAAAGATATGATCGCGACCTAAGCCTTTAATCAAGTTGCGAGAAGGCAGTGCATCGGGATCGTAGACCATAGCGACGTTGTTCGACGGCGCCGTAGAAAGAGTTTTGCACAATCAGTCGAACCTAGGGACCTGTCCAATCAGGATCAGACTGGAGTAATTATAATTGGCTTCTCTAAGCTGGCCGCCGTTGACGAACGGCTTTTTCTTTTAAAGATGGTTAGGACGCGAAAAGTAGGCTTGCTCTGTCATCAGTGGACATTTCAGTAGTATTTTGCAGAGGAAGCTCCGTACAGCTCGTTTCTTTTGAGGCATAACAGTTTGCTGATGCTCTTCAGGAGCGAAGTGACCCTTGGCCCCATGCGCATGCTGATTGGTTCAATTTTGTAACGAACAATTCTACCGTATGCATCCTTTCAGGCATCCTTCTAATCTAATGCTAGATCGACTCACTGGGAAAATTGTACACATTGACTTTGGTGATTGCTTCGATGTGGCAATGACTAGAGAGAAGTTCCCAGAGAAAATACCGTTCAGGCTCACACGTATGCTAGTGAAGGTAAACGATTATGCCTTTCTTCTCTAATGACAAGGTATAGTCTTCTCTGAAAAGTCAAGTGGAAGTAAAAATTTTCATGACATGTAGACGTCAAGGGTGAAATCAAACCTATGCTGAGTGGAAACACTAAGGTAAGCTGTTGAATGTAAAGCTCAGCCTACGGTTCTCATGGTTCTTTACAGTTGTAAAATATGGTGGTTGAAGTGTAAGCTATTTCGCCAATGGCGTATTGCATTCACAGAATTCAATTGATCCTTGAAACTGTGTTTAAAGGCAAAAGTCGGGCTCAATAAGGGGGTATTATGGCGATTGAAACTGAGTATAGAGATGCGAAGTGGAACGACAGTGGAGAAAAAACTGAGAAAAACCGTCGACAAGGCCGTTAACAAAACCCTCTTTCCCACTAGCAGTGAAGGAGGCTGGCTTGGGGAAAGAGACACGGTACAAACAAGTTTTCTGGAGATGTCAGTCGTTCTATCGGTTGATACGGCAATCAACCTAGCTGATTCACACGTTATGCCAGCCACGCACCACTTCCGGAGGTGGGCGGTCCCGGATTGACGAGGCGGTCCCGGATTGAAACCGACGGCCCCGGGGCCTTAACGACGTTTTTCAAGGTGGGAAGTTGCTGCAATGTGTGCAGCTACCCACATACAACCTCCAGGCACGGGAATTACTTCTCTAGCGTGACTGAGCCCGACCTTTGCCTTTAACACGTTGGCGACCAAGCGGATTTTGGAGTGTGTGCCGCGTGGGAATACGGAGAAACCAGCAAGTTCTTTTGTTGCATAAGCTTTTCAGTATAACAAATTTAATGCGCTGATCACGAATATGGCATAGTTCTAAAGCGTCGCGCTTATTGGCGCCGATTTGGCGCTATCTTGGCGCTACGAATATTTCCCTTATCAAATTTGGCAAAGATTCATATGTGGGAGTTATCCCCACTCTCTGAGCACTAATATGACCCTAATCATGGCACTACAATTTGGTGAACCAAATGGCACCAACTGGCGCAAACTTGGCGGTGCAAGTCTCCACCTTCAGTGGTATTAGTTCTTTCGGGAGACCTCGAACGCGATGAAGACGACTATTATGAACATGAGAGTGAAAGCGACGAAGGGAACGCTGACTGCTGTTTGAAAATGTTCTGTAAGACCGATCCCTCTTTTGATGAAGAATTTGGACTTCAGCACGATGCTGCTGAGATAGCAAATGTTGCCGAGGCTGCTACAGCATGTCAGTCATTACCACATTAGACAGTCAGTCATTACCACATTAGATCACATATAGAAAAATGAGAACTCGATGTAGTACTTTTGGGGCTTCTTCTGTATTGAATGCTTCCAAACGCGCCACAAATTATGTGAGAAATCTCAATTGTAATTGCGTTATATTATGTTAGTGTTATTTTCAAAATGTAGTAAAACCAAATCAAGTGAAGTACCTAATGCAAATGAATATTATTAGCCTTATAATAAAGAAGTGATCAGAAAAAGAAAAAAATCCAAGCATTTCAATAAGTTGGGGTGTCGCCCGACATCGGGTGCCATCGTCCCACGCGGCAGAAAAGGTGTCGCCCGACGTCGGGTGCCATTGTCGCCAATGTGTTAATGATTTGCTCATCGGTATAAAAATCAAATATGACCGCTGACGAGCTGTCAATTCATTAAATACAAGCCATATGCTCCTCCACGATTCTGACTAGGAGGACACATGGCGCACATTATTTTGAATTATTGAATCAAACAAGGGCTTGAAACTGAAGAAAGGGAAGTCGAGCTGAATCTTTAGAACTTTCTCTTTTTAATATCTGAGCGTTTCTAAGTTTTTGATCGAATGCATCTCTTTTTCTTTTTCTTCGTGTTTTAGTGAGATGGTTTCAGGCTATGGAAGTGACAGGTATTGAGGGGAACTATCGTTTCACATGTGAACGTGTGCTACGATTGTTGCGAGCGAATCGTGAGAGTTTACTTGCCGTTCTTGAAGCATTCGTCTATGATCCAGTAATCAGTTGGCGATTATTGGAAGGTTGGTTCTTCCGAATTTCGGATCTGCATTGTGTTTTACGTGGAAATACTTAATTTATTGCTGTGAAAAATCCAAGAAAATATGTAAGCTGAATCTGTTTGCCGATAGCACCACGACTATGCTTACCCTGAAAGCATTATTAGCCATTTACAAGCTGCATTAACTGTTGTTACATGAAAATTTTTTGTTCTAAAACGTATCTCCGAGCTTCACCTTCTTCATCATTTTTACTAGCATCTCTCAACTGAAAGCATGTGATCACACAGCAATAGGCGAGGCACGCCCAACTCAATCCACGTGCACTATGGTTCACTATCTATGGGGCTAATGAATTTGTTCCTTTATAGATGTTTATATACCTTCAGCTACCTCCGGACTTCTCACTGGCCTAGGACAGACGCGAACTTCCGAAACGGAACTGGACAAACTAGTCCCTATTTGCACGCGATTGAGGTCCTTGTAAATGAGAATATAGACATGAGCTCTGTAGAGTGGTATGATACACAATATGGCATTTGTCTTCCTATGCTCTGTCGCCTGAATCACGTGCAACGACGATGACTCGTCAGTTCTCTATCGATCTATCCTATTCCCTTATTACGATCATCCAGCATACTCACCAGGATTGTGGACTGGGTGGAGTGTGCTTGCAAATTCACATGGACCAGTTGCCTAGCTCAAAAGATTCTGGAGTTCTGTCAATAAAAGCCCAACCCCCTCCAAGTCCGACCCTCGGAATTCGAAACACGAGAGTGACCATGCGCTGGGAACCGCCGCCCAGTAATACTAGAGTCACTGAAGAAGATCAACGTCTACAGCGTAATGGCGGCGCATTCAATTTGAAAGTAAAGCAAGGCAAAGTCTGCTTTTTTCTTGATGTCGTTCGACCCACCTGCAGAGAAATTTCGTAAAAAGTTAAGACTCAGATTTACAACAGTTCCGTGCCACCGGTCCTTCGTAATAGCACCAACGCTCGTGCCAAACAGACAAACTCATATGACGCTTAGCTCTCTTCCTCAGGAATAAATTTTGCGTAAAGTGCCATCACCGCGAACCCGACTTGCGGTCTTTCTTCATTCAAGAGCTCCTGCAATTTCGGAGGAGAGGCAGCGAATAAGTTCCCATTAGAGAACGTTGTACATATAAATAGTTGATGTTAAATAGCGCAAACTTCGAATCAAAAAGAAACAAAAATCACTTGTCAAAATACCAGTGATTCAACTAATTTATGGACAGCCTAATAGTCTATTCGTTTGGTGAGCATTGTATAGCTATGGTTTTGGCTCGCATGGTGATCTTTATGGTATATCTAAGTCAACTTCCAGGATGCGGCCATGGTTTTATTTCTTTCAAAGTTTTTACCTCACTTTTTTCCTTGTTGTGTTTTCCAGTTAACAGTTTCCACTCAAACATTCATAGCTGCCGCACCCCACCTAATCTTTCTTACTTAGCTCTCGGTTCCTCCTACATCTGCCTTTCTTTCACTCCTGCACGCGTACTGTCTCCTAGATTTCATTTTCAACTTTTCTACTTATTACTCCAGCCTGCAGCGTTGATCATCCACGTGCTCACACTGAATCTCAGCGCGTTACTTTGACATGTCTCGCGCCGTTTCTGCCAGGTTATTTGTGGCTCATTGTTGCGCTCGAGGGTATTGTATTGGGTATGAGGGAGTCATCGTTTCGTATGTGGACCACTACCGATCATGGGGCTGGTTTTCGTCATCAGAGCCTCTAAAATGTTTATTAGTAGATAATAAGTAAATGAAGTTGTCCGACAATTAATGATTCAGGAACAAAGCGTGTGCCTGGTGAGAAGCATGACGTTACCAGGAGAAAGACGCTGCAGGAAGCTCCACGAATCGTAAGAGAACGTGTTATTGATAGGATCAAGCACAAGCTAGCCGGTAGGCTTTTGAAAACGATTTGGGATTCTCAAGGGATGCTGATGTGCAAGAGTGCCAAATATTGCCGGTTCAGCCAAGCAGCAAGAGGGCTCGTGTGTGTATCAGTGAAGTTTAGCAGATAACATCGCCTTGCTTCAGTAAAAATTTTTGAATTGAATTTTTGTCCAGAGTATCGACACTTGAAAGAGTCGGAATTTGCTCGCGGAATTTTCACCGGTTTCGATCCGAAATTGCTGTTTTCATTTCGTAAGCATGTCTGTTTGTGGCTTCCTAAAGACGGACACGCTGAGATTAGGGCTCTGCATGACAGTGAACGTTCTAATTCAGAAATCACACGACAACTTGGTCGTTCTCCTTAATGCATTCGAAGATTTATCTGGCACCCTGATAATTATACTCAGCACACACTCCGCTCCATCCACGATCCTTGACTGCTCAGAACAACAAAAGAGTAGCCCACATCCTGTCGAATTCTTCATTGACAGTCCGAGCTCAGATTTTTATTCCAGCCTCGAAAATGACCACTAAGCCCCTCATCCGCTCAAATGAATACACCACTCGACAGACGCTGAGAAAGGCTACTCACTTCAAGGCTCCAGCACAAGTTAGCAACATTGGAGTCTGCTCGTAAAGACATGGCAACATAGGATAGGACACGGGGATAAGACACGGTTTTTCGAGAATTTTCCTATTTTCAAAACAAACAACTTTTTATGCACTTTCTCTCCTCAGGTAATCTTAACTCATGGAAAGAGTTCGATCTTGACGGGCCGGGTGGATTTTGCTACTACTGGAGAGGCTTGGCCGTGAGTCGCTCGTGCTCTCGAGAAGGAATTTCGGAGAGGCCCGTTGATGGGTCTGCGGCGGTTTCGCAAGCAGCGGGAAATTGGAAGTTGCCGTTCCATTATTGCGTATGAACTGTAAAGAATACCAAGCAGTGCTCCAATGTCACCTGTTGCCTTTTCTTAGCGAAGCGGAGCGAAAATTGCATTTTTAGCAACAGGACCACGTGTCTTTCGATGCTTCGCAATCTACCAAAGAATGGCCAAACGAAATGGTGCTGAAGCGATAGATTGGCTTGTGTGTCCTCCTTACTGCAACCCTATAGGGAGCCCTTGATCAAGGCGTTAACTTTAGCAACCGGCAGTATAATACCGCGGATGAACTGAAGGCGGCGGTAGAGGCTATTTGGGCCGACAGCGACGAAACAGCTATGCCAAACGTGGTTCAGATTATGCCGGACAGGATGTTTGAGCTAATTAGAAACTCTGGAGGCCCCACTGGTTTCTAATCTCAGTTATGTCTTTGTCTTTTGTTAAAGGAAGCGATTACGCAAAGGAATTTTCCTATCGGGGAAGACCCTGCGTCACACGGAGCAATTAATTGGCTGCTAAGGAAACGATGTATGGTCCTCCCATGGCGAAAGGTGCTGTGGTTGCTGAGCAGGACCCGTGCGACGCCCCGCCCTATGCGACGTGACGCCCACTAGTTCTGTTGATGATCTGGATGGGCTGTTTGCTGTTGGCTTTTCATTTCGGATGATCATTTCCCTTCTAGCGGCTGTATCTTCCAACTTGCCCTTGTATTGCGTTATCAATCAGTACATTATGCTTGTTGGCAAG